TTATTATTATTATTATTATTATTATTGTATCTTACGCCTTGTTAAAAAGAATGAATAGTACTCACTTCTTCCGCATCGTTCATTTCATTTGTTTCAAATAGACCCATGATCGCATTGATAAATATAATGTCCACTTTCACGTGAAATTCCTGTATAAGAACCTTGAAGTATCGAAACTGTTGCACATTACTGTGTTCAAGTAATCGTTTAACCATACTAAGCTCGGCGAATGGTTTCATAACTGTTAAAATATGATGATTTCAAGTACTGAATTAGTCGAATGTATTCTGTTTTGTTGTATCTTAGTTTTCGATAACAAAATTTACCGGTACTCGCTGTAACACTTTTTGGTGGTGGAACTGGAGCCAATATCACTGGGAAAACACAATCTGCGAGTTGATTGTCAATTTGCAATCTATTGATCTTTGCGTGTAATTGCACTTGATGTGCCGAAGTGCGATACTGCAACCACAAACCAGTTTGGAAAGTACGTCGCAGAAAACGACGATGCGGCTTCAACATTTCCATGTTCAAATAATCAACCTGAGATTAAAATTAACAGTTAAATTAAGAGTGAAACGAAAAATTACGAAATTATTATTTTCACTTCCGTTACCTCTAACTTTGGTTCAAGTACTGCTTTTTGTGTCGGATCTTTTCCTATTTGCAATTCACGCATATATTTTTGATAGCCCTCTTCTATAACATTCACCTCCCTTGTACCCAGACCGCGCCAACGATGGCTAACAGATTTACGCGTTTCCCATATAATTCCAGAACTAAACCAGAGAAAAATCGTTGATAGAAGAAGAATAACAATTTGTCGAAATAAAGCAAATTAACAACGTATAAACAACGTACCTAGCTATACACAAATATAGCAGTTCAGATCTCACGACGTTATTAACGAGAGAGAAGCCAACTCCGTGAATACTTATTGTTATTTCCTGTTCTATTGGTTCAAAATCACCCGCTAATTCACAATCTTCTGCAACTTTCACGTTTGTTGTAAATAGAAGTACTCGTTGCGTACCATCCAAAAATGACACGTAGTATATTTCTTCTGCTAAATCTGGTAACTGAAAACCTCCCAAAGTATCCTAAAATATAGAATTCTTTTAACGTTATTAAAGTACAAGTCGACCAAGTTGGTGTTGGAATTGAACATTTACTTTTCGAAGAGTCTCTTCGATTTCTTTCTTATTGTTATCCTCCCAGACCAATCTCCGCGGACCTGCAGGGTTCTCCCAGGTGTAAAACATCCTATTGTACGACTGTATAGATCTGTAAAATAATTTTCATTGCAAAACAGTTGGTAATAAATATCGATTTCTTTTCTTTTTTTTTTTTTCTTTAACGATCATACCTGACATTCAGGGATCCTTTCTCCCAGAAATCGATAGTGTGCGGAGTCTGATTGATAATTAATGCCGGGGCATTTCCATGACTATACGCGGATAAAGAAATGTACACTCCACCCTCGCTTATTTGTATATCTACGTTAATTCCTCCATACTATTGAACAATAAGGATTATAGAATCGTGTTGGATAAATTACGCATTGGATAGAAATGAAGAAGACGGTGCGAACCTTATTGTTTAATTTCAATAAAGTTGTATGGCTCTCTGTATAAATGAATGGTGCAGTTTTTTCGGGATCACCTGCGATTCTGGCGGACAGAGTTTTCTGTTCATGGTCGGAACGAGGCCAGAGAGGTGTACATTCCCTGGGAGGAACCTTTGAACAAATAAAACAAAAATTTATACTAAACTTACAATTACAACTACTAAATTTATTTATACCAACTAGAGCAATATTATATAAAATAAGTTTGCTTCTTATAAATAACTATTACCTTAATCATAGGATCAGCTGGTCTGTTACCTTCTTGGCATTCAATGAGATGATCGGAATTATTTATCAATACATAATATGGAGTAAATGTAATTTGTTTCGTCAAAGAGTTATAAGTCAATTGATTATGAACCCCAATCTGTGATTTGGTAAAAAATGCTGTTAGTATGACAATACAGTGATTAAATAATGAAACTATAAATACAAAAAGATACCACTAACTTGGTACGTCAGACCATTGTATTTACAAACGACTACTCCCTCACTTCCTGCAACATCTATTGGAAATTTATCAGACCAGTCACCGTCCTCGACTCTTATCATTGCCTTCTTTTTACCGAAGAATACTTTGGAGCGAAATGAAAACAATATTGGTCCCTTAAAATTTTCTGGATGGTAAAGTACATTTAGATAGTCTTCGCCACTCTGAAAATTTTCATACAGTTGAATTCTAAAATATGCCGACGTTAAAATTGCATTTTTCAACAATTAATTGTATCTTTTTCTAACATATTTATACACTGTTACATTATATATTCGCCAACACCAGCTAGCTTTATTTTATAATCTTGCTTACGTATTTCAATAAATAAATCTTGAACTTGTAAAGTTTCGCATTTTTGAGTTTCTTTTTGTTTTTAAAATTGTGTGTCGTAAAAGTTTTATAAAAGTCTCTTGCGTTTCTACTACGTATAAGTTTCTACTGTATGTATTTGTTTTATTTCTAAAAGTATCTAGTCTTTCAACACAATTGTACATGCCATAGCAAAAACGCGCAAGCAGTAATATCTTACTCGTAGCATGAAAAAGTATGCGTAATGTTGCAAGATTATGACGTGCCACAGGAAGCCAACTAACAAATAACACGAATTAAATTTAATACATTTCTTTGTTAATTCTGGAGGAGTACAATTATATTTCCGAATATGAAAGAACATGGTTAATGATGTAGAGTTAATGTAAAGTTAAAAGAAGCACCGAACAATTATTTAAAACCATGTACAGTATTAACACACAGATAGTTAAACGTAGTGGATCGTGTGAGAAATTTATTTCACAATTGGTAAGATTAGACCATCACCAATATAAAATATGAAATCAATATATCACCGAGCGTGCTTTCTTCTTCCTGTATTCTACACTTGGTCGATGAGGTTTCATACAAATCAAATTCTGAAAGACATCTTTCTATGTATTACAATTCGTGAGATTGTCAATGATGAAATTTTTACTTCTAATATTTGTGATTTGATCCACGATTAATGTAAATAAGAATTTACAATAAAAAGCAATTACAACATTCTGCGACATGCTACTGTACTTGGAAATTCTGACTCGAACAACCAGAAAGAAAAAAATAGAACAATTTCAACGTTCAATTACATTGAATTACATTGAAAGATAACGCCAAGATTTTTTAAAATAAATTTTGCATATTTAAAAATATAACCATCGTTAATAAATAATAAAAATTATCTAATTAACATTGCGTCCAAAGCACGAAAAGTAATATGATATCACTACCTTGATCGGACTTG